GGGGTTAACTGATCAATGTTCCGTGTAGAAACTGATCCAAAAGAGGCTGGGAGGCTTTTGGGGAAGGGGGAGAGGAGCTCACTACCTTTATTTCCTCACTGCCTACTCCTTAAACTCCTGGAATTTGGCTCCCACCTCATCAAACTGAGAACAGCAATAGTCTGTCTTTCCAGAAAATGTGCCTGAGCATAAAAATGTCACACTTTTGTTCACAATTCCAGGGACCCTGTGAACTTCTGAAGCCTATCCAGGGACCCATGGGACCCAGGAACCCTGTTAAGAACTTTGTTCTACTGAAGCCAAACTCTGGAGGAGAGCAGCCTTTCCTCAGTCGCTCAGTAGTTCCTGTTGTGCGGTCCTCATGGGGACTGGGTGGTACATGTACTCCCCTGGAACCATGGCAGTTTGCAGGGAGACCGCTGTCCCCTCTGCCCATCGCTCTGCCCTGTCTCTCCTGAGAGAGCAACAGGAAGAGACAGCTTTGTCTGCACGGAACTCCTGTCCCTCCTAGGACAGGATCCTCCCCTCCCGCCACTCTGGCCATAGCTGTCCCAAGCTGCATCAACCACAGTTCCTTCCCTGCGGATTCTGGAACTGGGAGCAAGCAGGAAGGCAGCCTCCAGATACTGCAGCTGAAAGACATAAACTTTGGAAGCTGTAAGTGGCCATGTTTCATCTCACCACAGGAGCAGTGAGCAGAGGAAGCAGGGTCCTGGTAAGAGAAAGACAGGAGATGGACAGGGAGGGGAGAGAGAGGAGATGCAGGTGGTGAGTGACAGGGTCCTGGGTTCTCGTCCCTTCCAGAGGCCCAGCTGCACCCCTGCTCTGGGACAGCACCTGCTGTCTTGTCAGCGCATCTTTTCAGTATATCCACACTGCACAGAAACCACTTCAAGCAGGCTGGGAATGCCCCAAGTTCAGGTCTTTTCTGAATCTTAATTTCTGCTGAAAAGCTCAGCAATGCGCTCTCAGGGTTTCAAGTAATAACGCCATATTGATAAAATAATTCCCAGGTCTCTATCCCCAACTTCTCACTGGCTCTTTCTTTCCCACTTGGACGTCTTGCTATTATTTCTACCTTGACACATGTAGAACTGAACACCTCCTATCCTCCCAAAATTGGTTTGTGCTTTAGGGAAATCGTCTCAAGATTGGACCAGAGGCTGCATAATAGAATCACCAGAGCACTTCGAGAAAATACTGCTCCAGGCTACAGTGAACAACAGAATCAGAATCTCTACGGGTGCAGCCCAGGCCTTTGAACACTCCCCAGGCAGGTGCAGACAGATGGAGAATAGTGGACCAGGTGAAGGACTCCCTGGGCCCTTGCTCACAGCAGACATCGATGACCAATTACTTTACCTGGGGCCTCGAAGCAGCCCAGAAGCCTTTCGCTATGGCCACCACACAATCAGTCAGCTTTGGCGTGAGAGAGGAAATGTATCTACCATCCTGGACTAAAGGGAAATGGTGTAAGGATCTCCTATCTTATACTTTAGAATCCAACCTACAAGAAAATGCTTGGATTAAGGGTGGTCCGGGCCGCCATCATTCTCACACAAATGTTTCTTTTCTCAGGTCTTAGTTTAATGAGGTGTTGACCAGAACAGTTCTCATTTGGCTTAGGACGGGAAGGACTTTAGTTCTGATTCTGCAAATTGGTTCTTATTCCCGCTATGAAAAGGAAGGGGGTGGGGTGGGAAGCATTTGTATGTATTCATTCTTTCTTCCCTGATTACCCCCAAAAGAGCTTTCAAAATAATCTGCTAAGTATTGAAGTACTGAAGTCATAAACTAGTTGCAAAAAATCGGCTTACTGGAACAACAGGAAAGACATTCTTTCACTTTTCAAAGGCTTTCCCAGCATCTACAGCCAAAAATATTATCTTCTGACCCAAAAAGCCACTAATAAACCTTGTTTCTATAGGCCTAGCAAGAGAGATGATTTTGCCTGAAGCAAACAGTCAAAAAGAGCGAGATTGTTCTCTGGGTCCTCCCTCCCCCCACTTCTGCCCTCTCCCCACCTCCCGGCACCCTCCACTTCCCTCCCGCCATCAGGGTGGCAAGGGGGGGGTCCCCACCAGCTATTCTCACTCCACAGGTACCCTTCCCCCTCAGAGCTCCCTGGCCCCAGGTAAAACCCTCTTCTCCGTCCGCCTCCAAATCCCAAATCCCAAATCCCAGCTAGCTGCCAGGCCCAACCCCTGAGCACGGGCTCAGCGCTCACCCTCCCTTCGTGAGATCGCATGTGCACAGAGGACCGTGTTCCCTTCCATCTCTTCAGGAATGTGGGGAGCTCGAGAAGCCTGCCTTATGGGGGCACCCCTGGAAAGCTAGCAGTAGAGCCTCTGCCTAACTGGGGGCCTGACACACCAGTAAAAAGTTTAATGACCAGTACTGTCACTTGTTGTTACTGAGCCACGGAAAAGCTTTAAAAAAAAAAAAAAAGCTAAAACAGTAAGTTTCAGTCATGAAGAGTTCCCTTATGTGAGCCTTACTGCCCTAAACTGCAAGATAAATTAAAATGAGATGTCATGTGCTATATTTATATTTTCAAAGACGAAGCTGTTGTCCCAAATTAACCTCTAAACAGCAGAGTGGGGAAGTAGGCATATTGCCGAGCCCTTTGTCAACTCCCTGCCTCTAAAGACCGCAACCCACTGCGCCGCTGAGAGCAGCAGAGAGAGGCGGAAAGGGTACCTCTCTTTTCCCTTGTTCGCCGAACTGACCCAGGCCTCCGGGGCTGCCTGGACAGGGCAAGAACGCGACAGGACGTGAGCAGCAGCTCTCCAAAAGGCCGCACACCTCTGACTCTACATCTCCGCCTATAAAATAAGAACATTCATCACCTCCCTCCCTTGGGACCCTTAGCAGGCTTCATCAGTGGCCAAAGACAGTAAAAATGTTTGTTATTTATAATCGCCAATAGCACGCCGAGGCTGGGAAGACAGAGCCCCAGAGCACAGGGATTACGCTTTTAGAGCGTGATACAATTGTGGGTGGGAACACTCCAATCATGACCTCCTTCTCCAAATACCAGAATACGAAACAGAGATGGACAGACCCATCCAGAGGCCATGGGCCTGTGTCCATGCCCACCAAGGTTCTCGATGCCCTCACTGGCTGTGCCGTCTCCCCACCTGCCCTTTAAATGCTAAATCCTTGGGGCCGCGGCCTTGGATTTCTCATCTTAGCCCATGTTCTCGCCCAGGAGACCTCATCCTTGCCCGGCTTCAAGTACATCTCAACTCTCACCTGTTGATGAACACTCAGCCCAGACCCTCCTCCTGCTAGAGACCTTCTGTGTAGTCGGCAGAACCACCTGGTATCTTTTCTTTTTTTAACGTTTATGTATTTTTGAGAGAGAGAGAAGCAGAGAGAGGGGGACAGAGGATCCGAAGGAGGCTCTGCGCTGACAGTAGCGAGCCTGATGTGGGGCTCAAACCCACGAACCACAAGATCATGACCCCAGCCAAAGTCGGAAGCTCAACCAACTGAGCCACCTAGGCACCCCCGAACCACCTTTAAGGCACCCGTTTAAAACTGAACTCAGCACGCTCCTTCCCCAGTCGCACCCCCAGCAGCTCCTCTGCCAGGGGTCCCCACTGCATCAGTAATTGGCTGTGATTCTCCCAGCTACATGAGCAGGGTCTCTGGGACATAGTCATCTCCAGGAAAAATAGACCTCCAGGATATACTGTATGTTGTTGAATGAAAAAAGAACCATGTGAAGCTGTATTTAATAGTATGCTATCTTGCATGTGTCAAAGGGGAGAATATTTATATGTCTACGCAAGTACATACATATCACATCACAAACATATGCATTTGCTATGTTTTCAAAAAGAAACAAAAGAAGAATAAATAAAAATTTTAAAAATGGGGGCACCTGGGTAGCTCAGTTGGTTAAGTGTCCGGCTCTTGATACTGGCTCAGGTGACGATCTTGCAATCATGAGATCAAGCCCTGCATCAGTCTCCTTGATCTCCAGCCCTTAGTATGAATAGCATTTCAGAATAACCATACAGGCAAAGAAGAAAAGGTCTTCTTCACCGAAGAATTCCAGCTAATAAATGCAGAAGGAAATAATGGAGCTCAGCAATGACCACTGATGGATGCTAAAACCACTTAGGTGAAAGATTGGGGGTAGTTTTTAACACAACCAGACAGCACGTGTCCATTGATGACAGACCGGGAAGTCCACAGCACCAGCTATGAGGTGTTCTTACCAAATAACCTGATCTGAGTTGACTCAAGCCTCAAGATTGAACTTCCTATTAATAGGAAATATGGGGAACAGAGAAACATGTTAAATGACACCGCACAAAGGTAATCAGCTAAATCCTGGATGTGGATATCGTAGATGACAATGAACTGCCTTCTCCAACAAATCAATGTCATGAGAAAACAGAGGGGGGTGGAAGGAAAGTGCATGGCTACAGGATAAAGAGACCTATAGAAAAAAGTCAAAACAACAAAAAGCCAATGTGATCATGGCGGTCTCTTACTTAAAACTCTGTGGGCCCTGCCCACTCTTCTGGCAGTGCCCCTCATCATGCCCCCTCTGTGCTCTGGCCACAGTCACCTTTTATTCAGTTACTTGAACCAGAGGCCTCACAAATGCAATTCCCTCTCCCTAGGGGAAAGGGCAACAGGTGGGCCCCTGCCCCAAGGTAACATCAGGTCCTTCCCCTTGATCTGCACCTGCACGGTGCCCTGGACTTCTCATGGAAACACGCACGTCTGTTCCCCATCTGCCCTTCTCTCAAGGATTAGAAGCTCCGTGCAGACAGATACCACATCTCGAGGCAGGCTGACATGTAGTAGGCAGTAAATAAAACCCTGCTTAACACGTGTGAACAAATAAAGTACTGGGCACGTGGTTCAACGCCACTGGGTGGGAATCTGCCAGAGCCCCAACTGCTCTTCTTTGCCGTGGTGTCTGTTTTTAGTACCTAGAATGCCATGTGAGGAGTGGAGGCTCACAGGGAAGAACTCACCACCTCGTGGGACCTGGGAACAGGTACGATGATGGCCAGCACACAGATGAGCTGGAAGATGGCTCCCAAGAAGAGTCCGTACCGTAGCAGGTTCTCCAGGAAAGTAGGCTCGGGCACCTCAGGGGGTGAGAAGTCCAGGTCGGAGGCCATGACCTCAGCTGCCTGCTGCCTTCGGTCTCCTCTGACTCACCAGCCTCCAGAGCCAACTTCTAAACACAAAGGTTAAGTGTCATGTTTCTACAACTAACTTCTAAATAGTTCCACTTGCACAAACACACACAAACTTGTAAGAACCCATAAAGCAATCATAGCGAAATGCTAACAAATCTTTTTTTTTAATTAAAAAAAATTTTTTTATATATTTATTTTTGAGACAGAGGGAGACAGAGCCCGAGCAGGGGAGGGGCAGAGAGAGGAGACACAGAATCCGAAGCAGGCTCCAGGCACTGAGCTGTCAGCACAGAACCCGATGTGGGGCTCGAACCCACGAACTGTGAAATCGTGACCTGAGCCAAAGTCGGACGCTTATCTGACTGAGCCACCCAGGTGCCCCAACAATTCTTGAATCTGAGTGGAAGATATATGGATAGTTGTTGGACTCTTCTTTCAACTTTTTGTGTGTCTGAAATTTTTCCAAGTTAGAGAAAATAAGTAAGTAAATGCAAACACTTCGACGAAAATCTCTAATCAACATACATCTGGAGGCCAGCTATGTTTCAGGTTTTGTTCATTTCTTCATTTCTTCATCCAGTTATCCATTCACCACACACTTACTGAACACCAAGTACTGAAGAGAGGGCAAAAGAGACAAATCCCTACTCTCCTGGGGCCTACATCTCAGGGCAAGGCAGACAGCACATCCAGACATGCCATGGCAGCTAGTGACGACTGTTTGGAACAAAACTTGAGGGCACTGTTTTAATCTGTATAGGGTGACAGACAGGAAGGGCTCTGAAGAGACAGGAATCGAGTGGCAGAGACAGGAAGTGTAAGTAAACCACTGGAATGTTTGAGAGCAGCATATCCAGGCAGAGAGAAAAGCAAGTGTCAAGGCCCTGGGGCAGGGAAATGAGTTCAAAATGGTCAGAGGGGGATACTCAGGAAGGAGGAAAGATCAGAGAGGGGTGCGGCTGACCCACCAGGACCTTGACACTTCCAAATTGACCAAAGCCACCGAAGGGTTCTGAGCAGAGAAGTGACACAATCTGACTTACGTGTTTATACATATATACATATTACTTTTAGTTTAAACTTTAGTTAACATACAGTGCAATATTGGTTTCAGGTGTAGAATTCAGTGATTCGTCACTTACATACAACACCCAGTGCTCCTCACAAGTGCCCTCAGTACCCATTACCCATCTAGCCCATCTCCCACCCACCTCCCTCCATCAACCCTCCTCAGTTTGTTCTCTAAAGAGTCTCTTATAGTTTGTTTTACTCTCTCCTTCCCCCATCTTCCCATGTTCATCTGTTTTGTTTCTTAAATTCCACGAGTGAAATCATACGGTATCTTTTTGACTGAGAAAGTATGCTATCTTATTTAGCTTAACATAACACATTCTAGCCCCATCCACATCATAAATGGCAAGATTTCATTCTTTTGGATGGCTGAGTAATATTCCATTATGTATATATACTACATCTTCTTTATCCATTCATCACTAGATGGACATTTGGGCTCTCTCCATAGTGTGGCTATTGTTGATAGCACTGCTATAAACACTGGGGTGCGTGTACTCCTTCAAATCTGTATTTTTGTATCCTGTGGGTAAATACCTAATACTGCAATTGCTAGATGGTAGGGTACTTTTATTCTTTGGGTTTTTTTATTTAATTTTTTTTTATTTATTTCTGAGAGAGAGAGAGAGCGTAAGTAGGGGAGGGTCGGAGAGAGAGGGAGATACAGAATCCGAAACAGGCTCCAGGCTCTGAACTAGCTGTCAGCACAGAGCCCGACACGGGGCTCGAACCCACGAACTGTGAGATCATGACCTGAGCCAAAGCCGGACACTTAACTGAACCACCCAGGCGCCCCTATTTTTAGTTTTTTTAGGAACCTCCCTACTCTCCCCTAGAGTGAGTGACTTATATATGTATTTTTTTTTAACTTTTGTTTTTTTACTTCTTTATTAAGAAAGAGAAAGACAGAGTCGGGGAGGAGCAGAGAAAGAGACAGAGAGACAGATAGCAAATCCCAAGCAGACTCCACAGCACAAAGCCAGACATGGGGCTCAAACTCACAAACTGTGAGATCATGACCTGAGCCAAATTGAAAGTCAGGCACTTAACTGACTGAGCCACCCAAGAACCCCGAGCATCTTACATTGTAACGGGGGGTGGGGGGGAAGATGATGGGGTACAGAGTAGACACAGGAGGCCAGTGCGAGGGCTACTGCTAATAACCCAAATAATAGTGCTGGGGACATGAATGACGAGGGCCGAGGTGGTGGCCAGTGGTGACAGATCCAGCCTCAGCCAGTGTCTCCTTTCAGCAGGAACCCCACTCCTAAATACCCTGATCAAGCCAAAAGAACTGCCTGTAGTTTTCAAGAGCACAGGCTCTTTCAAAATCCTGGGCCTCTTCCCAGGCTGCACACTCTGCCAAGAATGCCCTTTTCTATTCTGATGCTTGGTGAAGCCCCCACGCTCCCTCCAAGGCTGAGCTCAAGGGCCACCTCTCCAGCACACCTTCCGTATTGCCGTCCTCTTACCCTGGTATGACTGAACTGCTTCCCCTCTACCACAGCACCTGAGAGTGGCTTCCTCCTGCCCACCCCAACGAGAAAGGGACAAACTTACTTTGGAACCAGGCCCACCTGACTCCAAAGCCCTCTGTATTTTCAGAGATCTGTGCCACAGTGCAATTCCCTGCTAAATGTGAGCTGTCCAACATGGCAGCCAAGAGCCACATGTGGTTATTGAGAGTTGGAACGGAGCTGGCCCAGCCTGAGAGGGCTGTCAAATATATACTCAATTTAGGAGACAGCAGGAACATAAAAATGTAACATATCTCATTAATGAGGTTTTTATATTGATTACATGTTGAAATGATATACTGGATTAAGTTGTATTATTTTCACCTGATCTTGAAAAAGAGCAAAATTGGAAGATTTACTTTCTGATTTCAAAACTTACTAGAGGGGCACCTGGGTTGAGCATCCGACTTTGGCTCAAGTCATGATCTCACGGTTCGTGGGTTCGAGCCCCGTATCAGGCTCTGTGCTGACAGCTCAGAGCCTGGAGCCTGCTTTGGATTCTGTGTCTCCCTATCTGCCCCTTCCCCTCCCCCACTCACGCTCTGTCTCTCTCTCTTCTCTCTCAAAAATAAATAAAACATTAAAAAAAACTTACTAGAAAGCTACAGTAAGCAGAACAGTTAGGCACTGGGGTAAGGATATAGACTAATGGAATAGACAGCTGAGAAATAAATCCACACATGTGGAGTCAACTGATTTTCTAACAAGAGTGCCGACACCATTCAATAGGGAAGAACAGTCCTTCCGACACATGGTGCTGGGAAAACCGCATATCAACATGCAAAATAATGAGGCTGGAACCTTATACCATATACAAAAATGAACTAAAAATAAACAAAAAATAGGGGGCACCTGGGTGGCTCAGTCAATTAAGCATCCAATTCTTGATTTCAGCTGAGGTCATGGTTTCACAGTTCGTGGGATCAAGCCCCTCATCAGGCTCTGTGCTGACAGCATGGAGCCTGCTTCCAATTCTGTGTCTCCCTCTCTCTCTGCTCCTCCCCTGCTCACACCCTCTTTCTCTCTCAAAATAAATAAATACACTTTAAAAAAAAGAATCAAAGATCTAAACTTGAGAGCCAAAACTATGAAACTCACAGAAGAAAACATAGAGGAAAATCTTCATGAAATTGGATTTGGCAATGAGTTCTTTGATGTGACAGCCAAAGCACAGGCAACAAAATGAAAAATAAATTGGACTTCATCAGAATTTAAAAATCGGTGCATCAAAGAACACTATCAAAATACAAACTAGAGTGAAATTATACTAGAGTGAAAATACAAACTAGAAAGCAGTTTGGTTGCTTCTCAAAAAGTTAAACATAGAACTACCGTATGAGGGGGCGCCTGGGAGGCTCAATCAGTTAAGCATCCAACTCTTGATTTCTGCTCATGATCTCACGGTTCATGGGTTCAAGCCCCATGTCAGGCTCTGTGCTGACACTCGGAACCTGCCTGGTATTCTTTCTCTCCCTCTCTCTCTGCCTCTCCCCTGCTCATGGGGATGCGCTCCTGCATTCTCTCTCCTGCTCTCTCCCCCAAAATAAATAAATAAACTTAAAAAAAAAAAAAAAAAAAAGAATTACCACATGATCTGGCAACTGCACTCCCAGGTATATGCCCAAAAAAACTGAAAGCAGGGACCCAAACAGATACGTGTACACCAGTGTTCACAGCTTCATTCGCGACAGCCAGAAGATGGAAACAACCAAGAGCCTATCAACAGATGAATGGGTAATCAAAATGCGGGACAGACTTACAAAGGAATACTATTCAACTATTAAAAGGAGTGAAATTCTGATACACGCTACAACATGGATGAAGCTTGAAAACATGATATATGATGCTAAGTGAAATAAGCCAGACACAAAAGGACAAATGTAGTATGACTCCACTTCTAAACGGTACCGAAAATAGGCAGTTTCTAGAAACAGAGGCAAATTCTAGAGACAAAGCCCAGAGACAGAAACTAGGCTACAGGTCAGTAGGAGCTGGGGGAGGGGTAGTGGGGAGTTATTGTTTAGTGGGTACAGAGTGTCGGTTTGGGATGATGAAAAAGTTCCGGAAATAGATAGTGATGATGGTTAGGCACCATTGTGAAAGCTACTGAACTATATACTTAAAAATGATTAAAATGAGGGGCGCTGAGTGGCTCAGTTGGTTAAGTTTCCGACTTCGACTCAGGTCATGATCTCATGGTTCATAAGTTGGAGCTCGGTGTCAGGCTCTGTGCTGACAGATCAGCTTTGGATTCTGTGTCTCCCTCTCTTCTCCTCCCCTCTCCCACTCATGATGTCTCCCTCTCTCTCCTTCTCACAAATAAGCATTAAAAATTTTTTTAATTAAAAAATAATTTAAAAATGGTTAAAATGAAAGAAAAAAGGTTAAAATGGTAAATTTTATGTTATACATATATTTTACCACAATATATATATTTTTACTTTTTATTT